GAAGGATAAGGGTCTGCTGCTGCTCACTGGGGGACATCATGCTACAGAGGCTGGTGATCAACCTGATGTGAGTATTTACTTCCCTCTACCCCGCGACGGATCGGGGCGGATTGTTGGTGTGTGGCAGCTAATTCAGAGTTTTATATAGATCTCATTAGAATTTGTGCGTCTGTACGATATTGAGACTAAAACATGGTATAACCAGAGCACAAGCACCGATGGCCCAGACGGAGCATACCCAAACCCACGGCACAACTACTGCGCCCAGGTTGTCTCCAAAAGCGACAGGTCCTGGGATATCTTCATGTACGGCGGTGACTACAGCGACGTCTACAACAAAAACACGCTGAACGGGCTCTGGATCCTCTCAATACCAACCTTCCGCTGGTTCTACTTTACAAACCCCAACTCGGCCGTTCCACAGTCCGGCACCACCTGCCAGGCCATCGGCTCACACTTTATCGTCTTTGGAGGCTGGAACTACTGGAACGTGTCGCCCGTGTCGGGGCCAAACTGCACAGAATCCTTCAAGGTCTTTGACCTCAACAAGTGGCAATGGACAAATAGCTTCGACCCCGACGCAGACCTCTACGATGCCCCCACCAAAGTCGCCGAATGGAAGGACGCAAACAAGGCCCCCATCAACGGCTGGGACACGGGCGTGCAGGCACTCTTTGCCGGCATGAACGCCTCCTCAGTCGCCACCGCGTCCGCCTCCGCCTCCGCAACATCATCCGCGTCAGCAGCACCAGTAGCCGAAGAATCATCGGGCTCAAAGCTCGGCCCGATACTGGGCGGTGTTCTGGGAGGCCTTGTGGGAATTGGCGCGGTCCTTGTCGGAATCCTCTTCCTCCTCAAGAGAAAGAAGCAAAAGGCCACGGAGGAGCGCCACGAGATTGGCGACGAGTCGAAGATCTATGTCGAGATGCCGGCGCCGTATATCCCGCAGGAGCCGCCATCAGAATTGCCAGCGGGAAATATGGGCCATTATGCGCCGTCGGGATCGCCACCGAGTGAGATGCCGCCGGACCCGGTGAAGATTAGTGGAGATGCGACGAGGTAGAGCGGCTACATAATATAGGCAGGATGCCTTCTTATCTGCGCTGGGAGCCGAGGGGGGAGAGGAGTTAATGTACGATATGTTTGGGTGTGGGTCTGTTTTGAGGAAAGGGTGTTATATATCATGGTTTAAATGTACTGTACTTACACTTGGTATTCTTTTCTTCTTTTTTTATCTTGGCTGTAAGTTTATGTATGGTAGATATTGCATGAGCCGGAGTACAGGAGCCCTTAGTCTTGAGAGCTCTCTCTCTTTTTTCTTTTCTTTCTTCCCCTTTCTTCAGCTCTTGGTTTACTGGGGGGTTAGTTTTAGGATGCTCTAGTACGTACAGTTAAATGTACTTGTTAATGAATTCAGCGAATTGAAGAACCTGTTTCTGCCTGGCCTGTCATATCAATGCTTCTAGATCTCTATGCCCATGCCTAGACCCATCCCAATGACATCCCATCCCATCCCTTCACATGTTGAAACACACCCCAGCTAGAAGCCCAGGCTCCAGAGCTAGCAGGAACCATGGTAAGCTTCCCCACGGATGTCAAGAAGCTTGTTTTTGCACATGCATGCAGGGGAGAGCGAGATAAGTTTTTTTGCTAAGTGGGCTTGGCAGAATCCGGTGACAGGGTGAGGATGGAGGGTTGAGGGTGGTCCGGTGTGGGTTAGTTTGGCGGGGTACATAGAGGCATCTGGGTGGTGGGTGGTGTACCTAACCGAAGAGATGTAGAGGACGGGTGGCCTCTCTGCCTGAGCACGGCGTTGGCCCGGGTCCGGACCCGGGTGGGTCCGCATGCTATTGCTCTCGTGGTTGACAACTAGAGAAGGTTATTTCACCGGCGTCAGCATCCGTTCCCAAATGCGAAGCCAGTTAGCATTCCTGGAATATAAGGTTTAATGAGGAACTGTGTAGCTATGTGGGTGATGCGGTGGCGGCGGTGGTGGTGGTGGTGGCGGTGGTTAGGATTATATCAGTTGAGATTAGTGCTGAGTGGGAGTTCATGCTGCTGTATCTGGTATGTGTCGAGTTGGACCTCTGAGCTCCCCGGTGTGTTTTAAACCCATATATCAATGCTTAGAGGCCTTGATGGATGTTGTTATGAGGGAATGCTATTGCTATTAAAGTATAGAGGAGAGATGAGATGTATTGGAACCTTGGAGGAAGAGGGAAGAATGGATGTGGAAGGTGGATCGAAGTGAGGGGAGACTTCTTAGCTACTATTTTCCTTACCAGGATGATCTTCTTAGGAGTAAATCGGGGCTTTATCTTCGGCGGTGGGGTAAGCCCGTTTTTGTGGTATGGTGCTTATCGTAGGGAAGTTGTTTGGTCAGTGTAGTTGCATCATGAGTTATCACTCGCTCTACAAACCGCCCGACGCCTCTGTTAAGGCTATTGCGTTGTGTTTAATTGGCGTGGCTATAGCTATCTCTTTGGGTCTATATCTAGTTTAGACATCCCTGACGTTTCCTCTCTGTGAGTGAGAAGATGCTGGGGTTTGGTGGATAACTAGAAATCGTTGAATCCGAGGCTAAAAGCGCAGGTGTGTTTGCTTAGAGGCCGTTCTCTCAGGGAATGGACGACTAGTAGCTTACCTAAGGTAGAGTGTGCAATTACGGAGTGGGTTTGATGTAGTGGGGTTCTAGAGCTGGGGATGATAAATTTTTACTCTTATAATTAGTCAACAAAGTCACTTACCAACTTACCAATATTTTAAGCTTTGATTTTTCACCTACAAATCTTCTGTTCGCTCGACGGCCTTGATCCTTGTTGCCGGAATCACCTTCGATAAATAAGCGGGGGAGATGTCGTGCGTGTATCAAGCCATTGAAGACAGGGCGCGGTGGCTGGTGAGACCATAAATTCGGGAATTCGCCTGGCTTGTCGTCACTCGACGGTATCGCAAGTCCGCTCCTATCTGTGTCTATTTTTCTGGAATTTGGTGATCGTGAGTCGATAGCAAAAGAAAAAAGAAAAACTACCACTTACTACTCTACGATTTTTCCACCCACATGCTCTACTACCTGTTTAATGCCATGCTCTCGGTTAACCAACGGCGAGAGCAGGAGACTAAACAGGGTGGAGAGATGCCGTGTACTACATCTATCAAGCCTTTGGAGGGGGGCACAGCGGGGGTGATAGGTGTTGACGGTGAATGTGATGGGGGAAGGAAGGGGGGTAGACACGGGCGGTGGGAGATTATGTATCAATGCTATATTGCCAAGATAATGCGCCAAGGGCTTACTTACCTTTGGCCCCGAGGGCTGGCCCACAAGGCGTAGATACAAGTATATGTAAATACATGTAGGCTTATTGCCGCCCACATAGTATCATGATGCGTCACTCGCGCCAAGAAGTCACTGACTGCAGCGCCCGTCCTGACTGTGGTACATCATGCATCCGCTGAAGTATTATCCCTGTAACCCTAGATGCGACGGATGATAGCTCATGATCTAAACAGTATAATAATTCCTCATTAATTGATTTATTCTACCAGAACTGAACAAGGAACAACTCCGAGGTTCGGAACAGATAAAGAAGGCTGGTTATCAAGATACCCCACTCTTATCAACTCTGATTAATTAATATTCGAAGAATAGACAGATCCCCATAGGGCGAAATGGATAAATCCTCAACCGATCCAAAGTCAGAGTGGAAATAGACGAGGAGATATTAAGTACATCAGAACACACATCTGATAAGCTCTTGGATTAAGTTTACTCACTACATGCATATAAGTATTTGCGGTCGGAGGCTCTATTCTATCTGTACGTATCTTTATAGCGAGATTGTACTATAGTGCATTATAAATTTCAACAAAAAGTACTGTGCCCCGTACTGCACTACTCCCACCCCCGATTTGAACCCAGGTCCTAGGGATCAAATACTCGGTGTCTTGCCTGACGAGCAGTCTCAATGTATTACCCACTAGACCACTCGCCGATGCTTTACAATCGCGGGAAGTAATATTTGAGGGAGCGGCTAGTGCGGAGACTATTTGGGGACACTAGTCTTAGTGGTATCAGACGTAAAGTCGAATCTCTAAGAGTATACCCAGGACTAGAAACGGTACCCTTATATGGCCAGGGTATACGTATACCTCTTTGTTGAGAAGTATCAAGCAAAGGCTTTGTAGGCCCGCATCCACTCACGAAACCACGAGTAACTAGAACAACCATATATAAGAGCTGACTGATATCATTCAGAGCTAGGCTAACACTGACTACGTTGGTAACCACAACCAACCAACTTGCGGATCACAAAACATAAAGAGTCGGTTCTGAAAATCAACATGTGCTCATACTGACGACAGGTATCTTGCTAAAAGCGCGGAAACAAAAAAGTCTCATAATAGCATCACCATCGACGCATCCAGCCTAGCTAAAAAGAGCAGGGTTTTTAGATCTTGTATTCGCCTTGCAAACCGAAGGGCCTGTCTGGACTCGTATCCTACTACCGCCCCGAGATAGGCTTATGAAATCGAGTGAGGAGCTGTGAATCAATATTTTTACGAAGATTGAGTTCTCATTCCTTGATCAATTGATTAAGTGATTGAGTACTATCCTCGCGTCAAGCGTCTATCTTGACTAGGTGCATAGTTATATTGTTAATTCTTTCGTTTAACCAGCCTTATATCTGTGCCCTAAATTCCTAAATTATAAAGTCACTGCCCGCTAATCGGACCCTAGGATTTCTAATTCCCGAAGAAAAGCTGACACTAAAAGTGCTTAATTGATGTCAAGTTGCTCAATTGAGACAAGAGCCCCAAAACGATAATAGCTTCTATATATCCAGGTATCGTATAAAGTCTCGAGATCACAGGTCACGCCGGGTTTCAACCACGCACCAAATAATTATATAATGAAGTTGTGCCACACCCAATCAAATTCAGATCAGGGCTATAGTTTGCATGTGAAATGTTAAACTGACATAAGTACATAACCGAAAAGCTCAATTTTTGAGTATACAGGGCGGCGGCGCGGGAGATGTCTCCTGAAGTGTCAATATCACGATCGTATCGTCTATTGCATCAGAAATACGGATGACCTTATAATCCTCAGCCTTGGATATTTTCGGCTTCTGCCACGCTTCGCTAATCTCCTGGCGAATCTTACGGATCTCCCTGATCTCTCGCTCCTTCATTATACGGAGGCCGATGCATGCTCTGATAATCAGAAGCAGCTGGAACGCAACAATAGCCCAAAACACTATGTATGCTCGCCCAGAGGGACTCTTGCCTAACGATAGTCAGCATATATTGAAAGACGGGAATTAGGCCAACAGGGAGATTGGACTAACTAAAGAGAAGCTCGGTAGAAGTATCGACATTCCTCGCAACAAGGATACTGGGAGCGGCACCGCGGTGCGAACCCCACATGTCTGTAAGGAAACTGTGGACAGATGTGAACATGGACGAGGCGTCTTCGGCGCGGATTAGTGAGAGGGGGCGTGAAGCTGGGGCCATTTCATTTGGTAGTGAAGTAGGTATTTTTTTTTGGTAAAGAACGTGTGAGATTTGATGGTGTTGAGAATTCAACTGGAATTTTTGGCGCGCCAAAGAGCGACTTTTTTCTTTTTAGGGGGGAAGGAGGGTTGGATAAAAAGTTGGGAGAGGAATGGGGGGATGAAGGATATTTAATGATATTTCCCCGATAACGCTTGGGTTCGCTCATCGCTAGAAATAGAATCTACGAGTCCTGACTAAGGTTATCTCGATAGGGAAGCTAATGACTTAATAGGTTGATCTGTCATCACTACATGTAAGTTATATATAGGCAGTGTTGTGCAACGAGTGCGATTCCATGACTACACGTACACTTAACGCCTAGTTATAGATTTCTGACTTACTCCAAAAACCGCTGGTACAAGAATTTAGAGATAATTTATTCTCGATAGGAGAATCCAATTCTTCTGAATGATTATTTAACTTATATATAGGTCCTGTTCCAATCTGTTCAGCTTACTTGCACCAGTTTGAGGAAAACCTAAACTAGACACCATATCTTTTTGAAGCGTTCGTTTGAGTTACCCTTTTACATTCCACTTACAAGAAGGATACATAAACTTTAGCTAGGTGCTAAAACCGATAGGATGAAAATTAAAATCGTATCTCAAAAGTATGCCCAAGCCAAAATTTCTATCATAACGCGTACGACTCCCCGAATAAACGGCTCTACAGCTCTGGTAGAGATTTTGGCACATAATTCTTTAAGCTTTGGCCTTAGGCACACTGATAGATCTCACAGTTGATCATGACACGCGTGTGGGTATTCGTATATGCCAGGTTGGAGCAAAAGGTACCCATGACGTAAGAGAGGGATATAGAATTGATTGAATTATTCCAGTAGCAACACACCATTATCGACCCCAAATACTGAATCCAACGACATCTGAGATGGGAGAGAACACCCCCGGCCATCGGCCACTATCCAAGCCTTCTTTCTATAGGCGATTGCCAGCTACATATCCTTTCCTGTTAGCTAAAGTTAGGGTTGGTTTTCTCTTCATGAGTGAACATATTCTTTGATACAAGGCCGCGGCCATCGTTTGCTGAAAAATATTCCTGGTAGAAAGCCCCCATGCGTATATCCATACCAAGAAATACTGTGAGAGATATTTCCAAACTTTCCCCCGACTTAGTCTCCATACAGCACTTCTCACGCTCACAAAAACCCCGTGGCCTGATCATTCAAAAAAGCACTCATTCAAAAAAAAAGCCATCATCCACCAATCACCACCTCAGAGTGTGTCGTCCCTCTCCCCGTTTTTCTCAGCCCCTCTACTCCAAGCTATCTACCCCTCATCACGACTCTCTTATATCACAAATATATCCCCAACGTACCCGCCCACGTGCACATTCACGGCCCATCACTCGTCCCACAGATATTTTTCTTTTTCCCCGATCCAGCGCCTTGTTTGTTCCCGGTAAGCTGAGAAAGCAACTCCGCCAAGAAGTTTGTGCTCTCCACATACAATCACTCGTCTAGTGCGCGCCTATCCGTCTCGATCTCGCCTCTCTGCAAACGTCGTTCGCTCGTTCGCTCGATACGCCCCCCTTTTCTTTTCCTTTCTTTTCTTTCATCTCTGGCAGGCAGCGCTATGACGTGATCTACCGCACCTCCTCGGGAGGCACGTTTTGGGAAATTCGGCCAAGGGAGGGAGATGGCATACCGCGGGGTTGATATTGGGTTTCGATCGGTGTTTGTTTGGTGTTTGTTTCTGCCCTGGCTTCATGTAGCATTACGTATGCTACGGCAGACCGGACAGCTACAGAGATAGGCACACTCACTCACGGGGTGAAGGCGGATCCTGTCCGATGGCGGTCAGGAATTTGAGGCCAGTAAAATAGTTAGGTTATGGACGCCAAGGGGAAATTGCTGCAAACAGAACCATCAGACAGGGTCCGCCATCAGTAGATGAGCGACTGTCTCCAATATTCACTCGGCGAATAGAGCTCGTTGACGTACGACAAGGGGAACAGAAACCAAAAGAACCTCAAGCTCTTGCAGCTTGCCATACCTGTAACTAGCCCCCATTCGTCATACAACTGGCAGCATTCGTTGAGAGAAAAAAAAGGTGAACTGCATACTGTCCCACCCAGAACCCACGCATCAGGACCTGACAGCGTCCGTCTCCATCCAGCCGGAATGAAACTCCCTCCCTAGACCCTGCCTCCGGGCCCCGAAACCCCATTCCGCTCCCGTCCCCGCTGGACACTCAACTCACTTACTCCCCTTACAGCACGATGTACGTCGCGTAATAATGTGATCTCACATATACCGTCACATATAGGCTCGAGCCATACATCATACATGTCTTGTCTTGAATTAAGCTCGGGGAGAGGGAGGGAGGGAGAGAGGGGGATCGATCAATCTCGGAGAGAAATTGTGATGGAAAGGGAAGCTTTCCTCCGTACTGAGATCTGGATGAGGTGCTGGGTGGTGGCTTGATCGGATATGATGACGGTGGGTTGGGTTGGGTTGGGCGGGCATAGTACGGTACGCGGTAGCGGGGAGGGGGGGGGGGTGTTTGGGAATTGGGAGTTGGGGGTTGGAGAGGATATGGGAGTCGGTATCCACAAGCAGAGTGGGAAATCCAAAGCCCCCCCAGACATACAGATCTCTGTATCGCCGAGCTCAGCTCTTCAGATGTGGGGGTCCTATCTAGAGGGTATGTACCTACAGCTGCACTCCAGAGCAAGATGTCCCAATCCAATATTCCCGGGCCGCCGAGTGCTCTGAGACTCTTTCGCAAGGTTCTAGAACCAAACAGAGTTAAGCATGCATGGTATGTTTGTGGAGAGACGAAACCCTAAGTTTGACTCTGAATATCTGGATTACTCGACAGGAGCTAGTACGGTTCTGGCATACCCGCATGAACGGAGATGTCTTTGGTAGGTGGAGAGAAGGCGCGCTGGGTGGCCTATGCGAAGTTCTGGTACATGTAGTAGACTTATAATAGGCGTATACCTAATAATAATAGGGTTCTGTTGACAGTGACACTGACATGTTGCGCTTGCGCTTGTTCGGGGTGCGAGTGATACATAATGACTGGCGGTGCCGGTGGCAGGTTCCGCCTACACGCTAGGATTCAGATCAGCTTGCGCGCCCCCTTGCTAACCTCGGATGGGCGATTGGGCTTGGGTCAAAGGTTCTTTTTGTGTAGCTTTGTCTATTTGTCATGTCTGGGAAGCTAGGTAATTTCTTGTGCTTGCGGTGAGAGTTGGAATATTGAGTTATTTCAAATTGCACTGTTTTGAGTAACTACAGGGAAATTTGAAAACGTCAGACAATAGAGGGCCGGTTTCATTAGAATGCTGAGCTATAGTTACATGACGTATACGCAAATACTTAGAACCACGTAGATATAATATACATAACAGAAACTGTATCAGAATAGATTACAAATCTTAAACTCAAACTTAAATCCCACGATATTGCCACGGCCGTATCGCAAAATGCACACAGCATGCAGCATTCAGCTCTAAACTTACATTAGTAGCCAGACCGACAGCTCCAAAACCCACAGCACGGCAGCATCCGGAACCATAGCACACGCAACCTCCTTCACTCCACCATCCCGCCACCGCCACCGCCCCCGTCCCCGTCCCCTCCGTCCGCGGATCCGACCAACCCCCCATCCCGAACCCGGGGCCCGAGTCCCATCATGCTGTCTCACGGCGACACCGGTGCGGCGTAGCCAACCGACCATCCTACCTACCTACAACCTACCTCTCATCCGACAGACAGCAGACAACCCCGGATCCCTGGCAGCAGCAGCACTGACGTTAACGTTAACTGTCAGTTAGGCTTCACCCCCTGGCCGCGACGTTAACTGTCTGTTGGCTATAATAGGGGTTATCCCTGGCGGTTGATAATATCGATCCCTGGTTGGCTACCATTCAAATTTCGTATTCTATGCTTCCAGGGGACTGTGAGTCCCGACTGCCAGGTGCGTGGTCGTGGATGGGATGCTGGTACCTTGGTTTGATTGAGCATGTACAATATGTACGTAGATTGGATCGGACTAGATATTGGGCTGGCCGTGGCTCGCTGCGCGGGTTCGGTGGGTTGGGAGACCAGAGATCGTGTCGTCCCATATTACTATAGCTATCATCATCATATCATATCATGGGGTGATATGAACTCTACTTGCTACCGTCTAGCCAGATTAGATTGGGCCAATAATAACTCGGCCAATCAGAAACGGGCCTGCGTATATAATAATTCCACCACGGTCCTCCCCCCATCTTTGCCATTTCTGGACGTGGACAGTAATTAGTAATTATTTAAATTGGTGATAAATAATAGCGAAAATCTTGATTTTTTTGCCACCGCCAGATATTGGCTTGTGCACTGCCCCCGGAAAGAAGGGTGGGCCAGTTGTAGGCTGGTTGAATGGTTAGATGGTTAGCTTGGTGATGGGTTAGTAAGTAGAGATGCTCCGGACTTTGGGACTCTGAGTAAAGCAGATCAGAGTATAGTTAGAAAGGGCAGAGGAGATTTGCATGTGGAGAACGCTAACCAAGCTATCCTACGGAGCTGGTGCTCTTCTCCACTAGCTAGCTAACGTGGTCGAGGGAGGGAGGGAGGACCCTGGCCGAGGGCGCGGTAAAACATACCTGGCAGCGCCGCCGCGGGAAAACATACCAGGGAACCGATGTTTAGGCATGATGTCCGGCCGGGGGAAGCTAACGCTAGGCGCGGTAAAATATACCATAGGAAACATAGAGGTCCTTGAAAACGTGGGCAGGGAGGTTCTCTCTAGCTGATCTGGGGGAGTTGACTACATAGAGTAGAGGCCGGTGCCTGGGAAGTGCGGTAAAAGCTGTCATCAGGAAACTTGGAAGTCGTTAGGTATCAAACTGTTAGAAACGGCCAACAGTCCACCGCCGCCGCTGGCGCGGCCGTTGGTCAAGTTCAACAGCTACCTACCTCTTCAGTGGTCTTGTCCTGAGCACCTTCT